CATTTGTAGGGAAACTGGGAATAGAATAAGAAAAGAAATCACTTAATCCTTACTTTTATGTTTAGGAATTATCAGTGGCTAAGGGACTGCCCAATATCAGTGACTTCTTCACATGTGGATTCTGTTTCCTATTCTAGTCGGTGCAGTGAATAAATTTTAAATGCAAAGAATCATGATCTGAACTGCGTCATTTGAGAACGTAGGATTAGACAGCTCTATTAATATTTATGCCCTCTAATGGGCTACTTGATTTTCAAAGCAAAGCTCCCAACACCGTACTTTCTGGATTAGGGCTGTGGTTACTACAGACACATAGGAACATATACGTATATATACATATACATTCTTGGAAATGAAACACAAATCACAGAACTGTAATCTTATCCTGCTTTGATCATTCATTGTTTTTAACAGAGAATATGTTACAACAGTTGTGATTTGTAAATGGCATTGATAACTTTAAGGCTTTTAAGCTTAGCAATATGGAATATTTTTTACAAATCTAAGCAGAAATTTAGCCTGTTACCCTGTCTTTCTGTTGGATGTGTGTTCCAGTACTCCATTTAACTTTCCTAGAACTGTTTACTTATCATCAGATTTTGGAAAAGAGGAATTAATGCAACATGTGCAGTTCCTATGGACTTCATTAAATCATATTTTTTCTGTATACCTGTTTCAGCTCTGAAATCAACCAGAAAAAGACAAGCTAAGACCTGTTAAAGTGTGTATTTCCACTGGCAAAATATATCAATTGATTATTAGATTCTTTTTCTCTATGTAATGTAGAAAATTATATCAAAGTAATTGACTTCCAGATGGTATATTGTCAAAAATGACTGAAATATTCTTTCCCCATGGCCATATAAATGAAAAGTATGAAATCTAAGGTGTGAGCCTCCATCACCATAGAGTGAGCTATGTCAAAATACATTGCACTGCCAGTAGGTTAAGAACATGTATTTATGGAGCATTTACCAGGGCTCATGGTGATTTCAGAGTGAGTGTTAAAGCCCCAAGAGTTACCTTAGTGCATATTTTGGTGTATATCAACCGTTACAAAGGGTATGTATCTTCAAAAGACCACTCTGAAAATTCATAATG